TTCAAAGTAATCCCCCTCAGATACAATATACTTATGCCAACGGTTTTTCCAATCCTCAAAGCACTTCTCATAAGCACTTTTCGGTATAGCCTTGAGCTCTTCCAGCGATGCAGTCTTTATCTCTTCAATCGTTGCAAATCTCCGTCCTTTCATAGGTCTCTTTAGTTTTGGGAAAAAGAAAAAGTCACATGGGGCCAAATCCGGTGAATATGGTGGCTGAGGCATGATTGTGGTGTTGTTTTTGGCCAAAAAATCTCTCACAAGCAAAGATGAGTGAGCAGGGGCATTATCGTGATGCAAAAGCCATGAATTGTTTTTCCACAATTCTGGGCGTTTTCTTCGTATTGCTTCTCGCAAATGGCGCATAACTTCAAGATAATACTGTTTATTGACCGTACGTCCATATGGTAAGAATTCCTGATGCACCACCCCATGGTAATCGAAGAAAACAGTGAGCAAAACTTTGACATTTGATCGTGTTAGGTTGTTAAATAAAAGGGCTTCAGCCAACACAATATTCGTGAGAAAAGTTTTTATTAGCGCAGAGAAAAGAAAGGCGTCCGAACAGTTTAAGCGAACAAACAGAAGTGGCGTCGCAGCGCCAGCGACGAGCGAGCAGCGCGCGGCGGCGCGGGTTGCGCAGACGCAGAAGTGTATCTCGTGAATACGAGTTGAACTTGCTAGAATTCTAACACTCCCTCACAAGAGTATTTCACGAGAACTTCTATAAAATGCTTATAAGTCAATACAGAAACATCTTAAGTATAAAAATACAAAAATACAGTTCTATTACGCACGCATATTTTACAATGTATGGTTTTACAAACTAAGAAGGAATTCAGTCGCGAGCGCAGATTACTTTTAACATGTCTTTGGCTTTTCAATAGTAACCATCGTCATACGTCTCCTCTGTGTACGTCTCTTGCTCAAAGTATTCAGTGACCTTATGTCCACCTTCCAGAGTTGGCAGATGCTCACGAGGTACTTCAGGCTCGACAGGGTAGTGATACGCGCGCGAGTACTCCTCGTCCAACTGAACATTGGCGCGTCGTCGCTCCTCTCTTTCTCGTATCAATCTTTAATACTCGTCATCAGTCATGGCAAAGCGAGAGTTCTCGCTTAAGTAATGTCCTGCAACTTATTTAATCGTCATTGTTAAATATTAATTTTGTGAGATTCGCGTGAATTATGAAAGACATTGGTTTTGTAAATATATCTGCCAATTGATCTTTAGATTGAACCCAGACCACATTGATCAGACCGTCTCTAACGCACTGTTTGACATAATTTTCTCTAATCGTACGCAAGTGTCTCAGTCGAACTCCTCCCTGTATTTCAGTACTAGACCTAGCGGCATTGTTGTCGCAGAACAGTGTAACTGGGCATATACTTTTCCCAATAATTTTCTCTACAGAATCCGTCAAAGCCGATAGTTCTAAACACGTCTCACTCATAGCCACGTACTCTGCCGCGCAAGTCGATATTGATATGCTTCTCTGTCTTTTAGTTCTCCATGCAATGGAATCACCGTACAATCTAATCACATATCCACACGTCGTTATCGAGTCTTTGCTATCAGCCCAGCTAGCGTCAGAGTAAGCGTCGAGTACCTGCCCTTTTCCACTATAAGTAAGCGCTAAGTCTTTCGTCCCAATAAGATATTTGAATACTCTCTCGACCATTTTCCAATCATTATTTGTCGGACAAGCTTGGTAACGACTAAGTAAGTTAACTGAATACGTTATGTCCGGCCTAGTCGCATTTGCTAAATATAACAGTGAACCTACTGCTTCTCTATATCTTGTCGGATTAATCGTATTGCAATTAAAGTTTTCGTCTTCTCTTTCCCTGCGCTCCCTATTTTGAACTTGATTCGTTGACATTGGCGTTCTTTGTGACTTCGTCTGTTCATAGCCAAAACGCTTTAACATGCTCTCAATGAATTTCGTCTGACTTAACTTGATTATTCTTTTATCTTTATCGCGAACCAACCTTATTCCAAGATACTCGCTCGGCTCTCCGAGATCTTTCATTTGAAAATTTTGTTGCAATTTTCCTATAATTTTATTGATTTCAGATTCGTCATTCCCGGCTAGTATTATATCGTCAACATATAGAATTGCTAATAGAATTACCTTTTCAATTTTCAATACAAACAAACAAGGGTCGTCATCGTTCGTCACAAAGCCTAGTTCATTCATACTTTTTGCAAAAGTATCATACCAATTTTTGGGACTTGTTTTCAAGCCATACAGCGATCTTCGCAAACGCAAGACTTTATCGACTTTATCATTCCAAGTATGCGACATTCCATCAGGCACTTCCATGTAGATTTCGTCTTTGACGGGACTGTTTAGGAACGCGGTTTTTACGTCCAACTGTCGCATAAAAAGGCCATGTTTATTCGCGTACGCTAAGATCATACGGATTAGCGGCAAACGAGTCACTGGAGCGTAAGTATCTCTCAGTTCGTAGCAGTTTCTATCCTGGAAACCTCTAACCACTAACCTTGCCTTTTTTATTTCTTTACCATTAGCGTCAACTTTCGTCCTTAAAACCCAACGAGAACTCAAGATATTCGGCCTGTTACCCTTGGCGTCAGTACGAGGTCTATCGACTATTTCGTAAACGTCATTTAGTCTTAAAGCGTGTATTTCTATTTCAATTGCTTCTAACCACTCTTTTCTATCTGTACGGCTCAGCGTTTCTCGGTAAGATGCAGGATCATCTTGAATTTTCGTCAGCAGCGCATAAAGTTCGTCATCTCGCACTAAACTAGTATCACTATCCCGATTTTTACTACAAAAGGTATAGAGAACTTCCTCTCTAGCTTTTACTTTAGGCGGTCTTCCCCTTTTTCTCTTAACCGGCTCTTCAGCTTCTCCCTCATTTTCGCAGTTCCCGTCATCGATGGTTGCCTGCTCGTCTACTTCCTCGCATTCAAAGTCGATTTGTAAATCTTCCGCGAGTAACACGTCTTTGTAAACTAACCTCTCTATAAATTTAACATTCCTGGACTCTGTAATTTTTCTAGTCATGGGATCAAATATTTTATAACCGTCTCTTGTGTAGCCTACGAGTACGTTCTTTGAAGCTAACGCGTCAAATTTTGTGTCTGTGTCTTTCGTCGCATATACTATACAACCGAAACGTTTTAGCTGGTTTATATCATATGTGAAATTTGGAGCTAGCAGTTTCAATGGTACGTTCATATTCAATGCTTTATGAGGGCTCAAATTGTACAGGTAAACTGCGACCTCCAAGGCTACGTCCCACATATTTCCGGCCAAACCAGAGTCAAAAAGAAGAGCTCGAATCTTTTTCTGTAGCGTCTGGTTTATACGCTCCGCGACGCCATTGTGAGTTGGCGTATTCGGACAGCCCGTGATCAATTCAGCATTGAATTCTTTCAAAACGTCAATTGTTCTTTTTCCTGTAAATTCCGTCCCTTTATCACTTGACAAATACCCAATTTTTACATCCTTTCCTATCAAGTTTCTCGTCGATACGATGAATTCGCGTAGTTTATCCGGAACGTCATTTTTATGTTTTATCGGATACGATCCCGCAAATCTAGAATAATTATCAGTGAATGTCACTATAAAATTATGTTTTCCCGGAAACGTCGAAGGTTTTATAGGCCCCATTACGTCCGCGTGTATTCGCATAAGTGGCTTGTTTTCTCTGCTTCTTACCTTGTTGAAGGGCAACTTTCTCAATTTTGACATTATACAGACTTCGCATTCTTTTAAACCTTCGTCAAAGTCTGAAGCGTCGAAATCTCTGATTTCCGGATATAAATCCTTAATTTTATTTAGATAGGCAGCTGAGATGTGACCCAAACGTATGTGCCATAACCTGACAGTATTTAATTTCTCTAATTTGCCTACGTTTAGTATACCCTGACCTACTATATTTTCAAGTTCGTCTGTGTCATTCAACAACTTGGTCGCGCCTTTATCCGTTACTTCGTTTCTTTCAGTTTGAGTTTTATTTTTCTTTTGATTTGGTTCTAATCGTTGAACCACTTTACCACTTCTCGTCGCTAGATTCACGAACAAACGTCTTTCAGAGTTTTTGTTTGTATTTTCATTTTTATTCGCACTGTGTATTTCAATTTGCCAGAAAGGTCTTTTGTACAAACCCGTCAGAACTGAATTGCGCGAAATCGGATCGTATATGTTTATACGTTTGTTATCGAGATATATCTTCATTCCCGCATCCGCAAACTTTCTCAAGGACAAAAAATTTTTGGACAGATCTTTCGCGTAAATTACGTTAGTTAATTTTACAACCTTTCCGTCACTTGATTTGACTTCAACACAACCTTTCCCTTCATAAGTAAGATCGGCACTATTATTTTTGTTCGCGCAACTTATGTACCCTTTGTCGTTTGAGTCTAGCGATTTGAAGGATAGTCACGAATTAGCTATATGACCCGTCGCACCTGAGTCGGCGATAAACGTCTCTACCGTAGTCGCGTCTTTTTCGTCCTCGTCGTCAAATTCCGACTCCTCGGAGTCCTGTTCTACTAGATAGCATTTTTTGAATTTTCTTTTTCCCTCACCTGGCGTGTGACGTGCAGAGAAACCACCTCTGTGAGGTCCTCCGCGGCCTCGACCGCCTCGTCCTCTCGAAGAAAGGCCTCTCGAGCCGGGTTGAGTCGGCGAGGGTTTAGACCTTTTCTCTGGTATTCCAAAATCGTCGTGGCGTCCGTCGGCTGCGCGCTTTCTTTGCGGGTTACACTGCGAGGCCAAATGATTTGGCGACCCGCAGTAAAAGCAGAACTTCTTGCCTTCATTCGGACACTGGCTCTTCCAGTGCCCTTCGAGACCGCACGTGTGACACTGGTTCTTTCCAGTTTCTGGCAAGCCTCTATCGTCACGACCTTTTTGCGCGAGAAGCGCCTTCTGACTGCCCGTCATGACATTCTTCGGACCAACCTGCGGTCGAGGAGTCGACGAGAATGCTTCCTGACGCTGAGGACTATGTTGTTCGCTTCAAGAAACCGTCTCGTCATAGAACAGCCTCGTCCTCGCGAAGTCACCACTTCGTGCGCTGGTCCTGTCACGAGGCACCTCGTTCTCGGCGTCCCAGTCCTCCCCGTCGTCGGGCAGCTCTCCATCCTCAACCGAGGACGAGTCGCTGCGCCGGCGGTTGGACGCGCGAACGCTTTGGCGTAGCAGCTCGTCAGCCTGGCGGCGCCAAGACAACGCCTGGGTCGCTCTCGCATCGACTGCGGGGTCTGTGCGTCTGCAGCTCTGCCGGGCAGACGGGGCGTTGCTGTCGATGGCCCGCGCTACCTCCGTCGGCTGGTCAGCGGTGCCCGCTCTCGCGGCCCGCACCGGATTGTTTGAGTCGACGCGAGCTGCAGGGCTACTCCTCGCGTTCATCGACGGGGGTGTTTGGCTCGTCAGCGTCTCGACGCTGACGGTCGTCGCAGGCGTCGGAGCCGTCAGAAGTGCCGTCGGAGGTGGCACGCTGAGCCCCTTGAAGGCTTCAGCGATTGCTCTTGCAATTTTGTCTCCGACTTGCTCGATCTTCTCGCCAAATATCCAGAATTGCTCCTCCGAGTGGGCTCGGTTTGCCTTCGTTTCGGCAATCAGAGTCTTTATTGCCTGCGGCACGGTTATTGTGGCCTTCGCGACAACTTCTCTCTCCCTCAAATGCAGTGTCTTGGGGTCGCTCGTGATCGTCTCGAAGCGACCTTGAAGTCAAGTAATTTGGCTTCTGTCCAACACGTCGTTTCCAATATCTATAATGTGTCTACTTGTGAACACCAAGCAAAAACCCGTCTCGTTGCTCCTTTCGGCCAAGTAAATTCCTTCAGCGACGCGCGTCGTCGCGAGGTCAAGCTTTTTGTAGAGTGTGTTTCTTATGTCGATCAGCCTGCCTGTCAATTTCAGTTCAGCGCATTAAAAAATCGAAACAATTTTACCGTAGCACATAATATCCAAATGTGCGCGCCGTCAGTTTTGCGCGATTTCAGAAAAAGCAATCCGTCTCACATTCCCCACTCTATCTGACTCTCCGTCTCTCTCTCTCTCTCTCACATACCCATTCCCCGTCGATCGCGCGGTAGGAGGAGCGTCACCTCTCCTTCCCGCTTCGTCAATCTCGCTGTCTCTCTCTCGCGCTCTCTCTCTCTCTCTCTCTAGCATGTGCGCGCCGTCAGCCATCTTGGCTTTGTTTTTGGCGCGCAGCAACAGGTTGCATCATGCTGCGCAAGCCATGCCTGCCGGCCGAATTCCGAGAAGGCATAGAACTGAAACGTGCAACATTTTATGCGAGCGAGATTTTTCCTTTTAGCTGCATCACGGTCACGAGTTTAAATCCGTCTCCGTCTCGTTTCGCACTTAGACACTCCCGATACACAAAAAAAATTGCGACCGCGCTCTATTGTAAATTGCAACACTTACTTGTTCTTGGTGTAAGCGTGCTCGCCCCCTCCATCGCTTGTTGCCCGGTGTCTTGGCCGTCACTCGCCATTTTCCTCACGTTGAAACAAAGCAACAACCTTCTCGCGATTCTGTTTCGTCAAAAACTTTAATCACTTCACACACTCGCGCAGCGGAAGCGTGCTGGGCCCATAACCTGTTAGGTTGTTAAATAAAAGGGCTTCAGCCAACACAATATTCGTGAGAAAAGTTTTTATTAGCGCAGAGAAAAGAAAGGCGTCCGAACAGTTCAAGCGAACAAACAGAAGTGGCGTCGCAGCGCCAGCGACGAGCGAGCAGCGCGCGGCGGCGCGGGTTGCGCAGACGCAGAAGTGTATCTCGTGAATACGAGTTGAACTTGCTAGAATTCTAACAGATCGAACTTGGCGTGCTTTTTTCGGTCTTGGCTCATCTGGGCTCTTCCATTGGGACGATTGGACTTTGGTTTCGATATCATAACCATATACCCATGATTCGTCACCAGTTATGACCCTTTTGAGTAAATCTGGGTCGTCGTTGACGTCATTCAACAGTTCTTGAGCGATGCTCATGCGACGGTTCTTTTGGTTAAAATTTAGCAATTTCGGAACAAACTTCGCTGACAAACGTCTCATGCCCAAAACGTTAGAAAAAAGTTCATGGCACGAGCCAAGCGATATACCAACATCCTCAGCAACTTCTCTGATAGTGATTCGACGATTTTGCAGAACAATTTTCTTCACTGCTTGAACGTTTTCATCAGTTGTTGACGTGCTTGGGTGTCCAGAGTGAGGCTCGTCATTGGCATCTTCCCGGCCATCTTGGAAGAGTTTGTACCACTTGTAAATATTTTTTTTACTCAGAACAGTTTCACCGTATGCCACCGTCAACATTTCAAGTGTTTCGGAGCACTTTATTTTATTTTTTACACAAAATTTGATGCAAATCCTTTGATCCATATTTTTCGATAGCAAGAAATCGCCGAGCACGCAAAAAACTTATAACCTTTACGCCTCTCACAACCAAACAAAAAATGCTATACACTTGAAACTTGGTACAGATGTTCGGGAAGAGTGTACCAACATAACAAAATAAAAAAATCGATAATCGAAAGTACGTTGCCCGTGAAATTTGAAAAGTCACCTTACTTTTTGAACACACCTCGTGTATAAAAATTTGTAAACTGTAAATTAGAAGAAAAATTGCTAATAAAAAAACTAACTATTTTAGAAATGTTCTTTATTTAATATGCGTACAAACCATTTTTATGAATTTTTACTATTCAATTTGACAACGTTTTGAAAACGTTCTGCAAATGTTTTGAAACGACAATCATTTTGAAAATTACATTAAAGAGAACAATTTCAAAACGTTTTTAAAACGTCCTGGAAACGTTGAAATATTCAGGTAATCCTTGATTTCTAAAAAGAAAAACCGTTTTCAAAATGTTTTCAAAACGTTTTCAATACGTTCTGCCAATGTAGAAACGTTTCATCAAGTCTAAATTTTTTTTGAACAAAACGTTTTCAAAACATTTTTAAAACGTTTTATAATTCCACCTCATTCCCAAATACTAAAAAATTTGCGGACATATATCACGTTTTCAAGACGTTTTCAAAACGTTTTCATCACCAAAGTCCCAAAACGTTTTAATGTTTTATCAAAAACGTTTTAAAAATGTTTTAGAAATGTTTTTGTATTATTCGGGTACGAAGAAAAAAATCTAGGGAAAATTACTTATATGGCATCTACCAAATTTGTTAGAAATCAAACTAAATTAAAATACAGTTAAACATGAGTTAATACTTTAATTAATTTAAATTTTCATATTCAAGATTAAACATATATATATATATATATATATATATATATGTTTAATATTTTAAGCGGTTACAAAAAGATTATTTTTGTTATTGACTATTATTATTATCATAATGACATAAGAAAAATTTAAACTTTATTTAAAAAACTAGTTTTAAATTTTAATAGGTTTATTTTTAACTCAAATTCTTTATGACATTTTATTAAATTGTCATATCTTATAAAATAATTTTTATATTTTGATTGCAAGCTTACAAAATAAGTTACACTTGTATTGTTACATTTATTTTATAGGCATTCAATATTTATCATCAAGCATTGTATTTTTCACAAAGAAAGTAATAAAAGAAAAATTATTTGAAATATTGATTGTATCGTTTGACAAGATGTTGTATTGTTCAAATATCAATAATTATACCAAAAAAAAATTTTAAATTAACTTTTTTCCTAACTTAGGTTAATCCGTACGTTTTTCATGCAAAATTCATGTGAATTGCATACAAGATTCTTGAGGAATTCGTACGACCAATGTACGGTAAATGTATGGAAATCGTACGGTTGTTTTCGGACAATCACCGTACGGTAGCCGTACGGTAGTCGTATGGAAAACGTACGAAAGCGCCACGGGTACTATACGGAAATTCGTACAGTTTTAATTCGATCTCCGTATGATATTCGTACCTATATTTCTGGCGGGGTCACCTTTCAAATGATTCACAAAACGCTACGTTAATACAGATTCCGTACTCCTACATACAATATAAAAATGAAATGATATCACCATGCAAAAACCAATCATCGTGCAAGCATAACAAATATTGAATAATTAATTCATACTTACTTTTTATTAAAAATTTAACGAATATAACTCGAACACATCTCGCCGCTTGTATTATAAAGATAAGCACTTCCGCTTTTAGTGAACAAACTGGCTTGCCGCTGTTAGTAAACAACGCTAACAGTGACCTGTTGCGACATTGGTGCCGCCATTAGAAGTCTGAAATCTTCCAGCAGTAAATTTTACTTTATAAAGTAGGAAAAATCATGACTACTAGGCAGCGCTTTAAGAAGATATAATTTTTACTATTTTATATAGTAAAAACTTTGGATACAATAGTAAAAGTTATTAAGTAAAGAGTAAAAATTATTATGTTGGTAGTAATGTGACATCCGGGTCACTATCTCAGGTACGTCTGAGGTGGACGTAATCTCAGGCGCTCTATTTGGTTTGCGTGCGTACGCTTAAACCGGGACGAGCGATTGGAGAATTAGAGCTTTTCTACTTCGCGTTTCGCGTAAAAAGAGTGAAAAAATTAAACTGGACTACAAGCCTTCCATCAAACACCAGGGTCCAATGGAATCGGGACTTGGATGTGAAAATCCCAAACCTTGCCGGAATTATCACATAAAAAGTATTTTATTTTAGTTTAACGGCGCGACTGTCTTATTGAAAAAGTATCCCAATTCCTGCTGAAATACTTTTTCGAAGACCTATTTTTCACGAGTTTCGATCAGCTACTCTAACAAGAAGAGGAAAAGGAGAGATAGTGAATAAAATTTTGTTTCAACTTACTTTTCTTTTATTTAGTTAACTGGTACTGGACCTGGCACTTGGTCAATGAGTTGCACTTAAAACCTTGTGTGGAGCGTGGGAGCGTGAGAGAGCGATTTTCGCTTGCGCATGCCCTTTTAAACCCTGGGGGTGGTTGGGAGGAAAATCCCTCTTTCAGTCCCTCGAAATTTGGGAAGAGTGGAAATGCCAGTGAATTGTAATTGGCCAACCGAGATTTTCCCTCCTTTTCTCTTTCGGATTTCGGGCCCTAATTGGTTCGGGGGCGTGGTGAGAATTGGGGGCGCGCGTTCAAGAGTTTGGGCCTTATCTCGCTAGATGACTCTCCAAGTACCATTTTTAGTACAGTTTCTCTTATAATTATTAAGTTATTTATTATATAAAATTATTACAATTAATTCTTAAAAATAACGCAAGTTCCTTATTATTTAATATATTTTACGCGAAAATCTGTTGATCCTACATGTTTACAATTGGTAACTTAATTAATTAACTCACTTCGTTGTTTAAATAAATTCGAACGAAAAAAGGGTATTATTTAATTGTGGACTGGAATAACTGATTTGCTAAAATTCGTTCAAGTAACTGTTTTCGACTATTTACCTCATTTTTCTAATTTGTAATTTTAAAACTTCGAGTTATTTTCAATGATTGCGCGGCAACTATATTTCTAATCAAAAAGTGTGTGGGAGGTTTCAAGAAGCTGCGAAATTTTCCTATCATGCTGTTATTTTCCCGATTCATTTATGTAAAATTAGTTATTAAGGTTTTTTTTTTATAGCAAAAGTTTTGACTTCTAAAAGTGGAAATCTTTTGGGTGAAATCGAGTAACAGGATGCAGGTGGAATTCCGCGGCTCCTTTACTCTTTATCTAAACCTACTCAAAAAACTTTATGATCGTGCGAGGTAAACATCGGAAAGCGCGCGATAAAGGGACGACTATTTTCACGTGTCCTCCAGCTGCTTCAGCTGAAGGCTCTCCTTCGCTAGTTTACCGAGTTAAAATTTAAGCTACACAAAAGTACATGAGGAAAAAAAAATTTATTTCTAATAAACGGCCCGACGTTACACCCCCCCACTTAAACGGTTACTTAAGGAGCGCAGCGAGGCAAAGTAATCGCTAATTAAGATGTGATTGTAGAGCATGGTAACCAAGATTTATTAACATTTACTGTCGAGAAAAGAAACTATTGTTAGTTTGGATTGAGGACACTGGATGTTCTTTTGGTACGTTGGCATCTCTTTCTTGAACCTGAACTGGTATGTAATGGGGTATCTGTATTGGCATAGGAACTCTACTTGGTTCTTCCTGGGATTTTTCATTTTCCTTCTGCGTTGAATGGCCTAAGTGGATAAGGAAAGTTGTGAGACTGTTCCATATGGCTCCAAAAAGTTGGTAGGACCACCCATAAATACTATGCAGAGCCATGCCGTTGATAAAGATTTCTATCACCTTTTTAATTATTTGAATAATAAAAAGGATAGCTATCACTCCTGCACTGAATGTTCCAAACGTCATGAATTTACCCCACATTCGGTTCCAAGTGGTATGAACTAAGCGTTCTAAAGTGTTCTCATTGAGCAATTTATTAATTACTCCTTCTTGATCTTTCATCGCATGACCTTTGATTTCTCGAGCAACATCATTGATGACAGCTGATTGTTCGAGAGGATACATGATT